CTGCTGCTGCTTGAAGGAACAGCCTTTCTGCTGCCAGGATGCCAGCTCTTCCTGGCAGTCAGGGTTCCTGCCTCTCCCCTGCCCAGTCCTTGCACCTGGCTCTCCAAACATTTCAATCTGCAGGCTCAGTCCCATTTCAAAATTCCTGAGTCCATGCCAAGTACAGCATAATCTTTCCTAACAACCTCAGTTATACTATCCTGGAGTTTATCAGTAAGTCTCCATCCCAGACTTGACCCTGTGACCCAGTCATATGTACGAAGTATTCTGTTTGTCCAACATCTCCTTGATGGCCATTTGGATGCCCAGAATACTGGGCGTGAGCTCCCTCTGCTTTCTGCTACCCACACATTTATGACTTAGCCATAGCATGGCATGTTCCAGATCTGTTGGTCCGACTGAATACCAAGCCCAGGCACCCTTCTAGCTCTTAAAGGTTTTTGTTTTGTTTTGTTTTTATCATAGACCCTCTGAGAATCTGGTGACAGAAAAATACACCTACAAACAATTTCACATATATTGGTGGGGGTGGCTTTTAGGTTCTGTGAAGCCAATTTGGTTAAGAATCCCTGATGTAAGAGAAGTTGTATCCATCCACATCCCATTCTGATGGCTGCACTTAAATTTGGCCTTGCAGCAGTATTCATTCCTCTCTGCACATCTAATTAGTACCCCCAGAATCAGCCTCTTCCAGAATTATGATTGGGGCACCCATGGACACTGTGCCTGACCTTCACAGCTACACTGCCCAAGTCAATTCTTGTGACTGTCGGTTCTTAACAACCAGTCACAATGATGAATCCTAGTCTGAGCCAGTTATTGCTGCCACTGCTATATGCCCCGGGAGCTTGGTGCTAAGAACAAGCTGGGGAAGCAGCTGTGCAGCCTAATGCCTGCTATTCCCAGAATGTATTTTCTTATGACTCCTTTACATTACTACTGAAAAAACTGGTAAGAGACAGGGGAGGAGATCAATGAGTACATTAAGTTCCTTGCTCATCTCAATTTTATTGGCTATCCACTGTGCAGTGTTATCAAATTGTGAGTTATCACCCATTAGTGAGTTGTGAAATAAATTTACTGGGTCACAACCAGCACTTTTTTAATGACATGGTACAGAGTAGAATAAAAAATACCAGAGTACACTACAAGTACTAACAGTAGGTACTGTTTATAAACTTTTCTTTAAGTTATATGTTTATGTGTCTGTGTGTATGTACTGGGTTGAGATGTAAAATGTATTTCCTACATGGGTCATGATCAGAAAAGTTTGAAAACGACGGCTTTGTACCATCTCTCCATATAAAAAGCCCAGAGAAGCCTCACATATTTAGAGTACTTAAGGGTAGCACTGCTTAAAGGTTCTCTAATGTGTAGTTGTACCCCCAAAGATCAGATTGTTTAGTGACCTGTTCAGTCTCAGAAAAATGGCCTAATGGTGGCTTCATTAATTGCTACGCCCTTTAGAGAGGAGGACAATTTGGAAGGTACATACCCTTTTACCTTGTAGAGATTTTCAAATAATGAAAATAATACTAGATGAATAAGAGAAATAATAAAAGCTGTATACAAGGACATATTCACATAGTGAAAATGGAAACTAATAAATGTACAACATTTATAAAGAATTGATTAAATAAATTATAGGTAT